ACACCCCTAGGGCTGTCTCTTATACACATCTAGATGTGTATAAGAGACAGATATTTTAATACTAGACATAGACATGTGATTCTATGACGATCCTCATGATAGACTTATCGCTAGTACATAGGCCTATGCTCCCTTATACATACAGAGGTGTTTTGCTTATTAACCGACTGGACCCTTCAATCCTTTAACTAGCTAGCAATGCCTATGTTCTCAAGGCTCCTGAACGAATCAAGAACAACCTGTTGATTTATATAATCAGATTATCGTGATTTGACCTCCAGTCATTGTTTACGAGTGCCGCTTTTGAGGACCGTTGATATTAGTTTGGATAGATTTTCTCTTGTTATTTATGAATATTATAAGCAAATTCATCGTGTGTCAATGGGTCCACCTTGACCCGTGCTTTCTAACGTGACAGAATTTGAGCAAATGTCATAGTTGACCTAGAACCAGTGTGGCCACTGTGAAAAATAAAAATTCCCAAGATTGAGTCTAAGAAATCCCAAGATAGCTTAAAAAATATTAATAAAGATTTGCAAAATATTAAGCAGGGGTGGTGCCAGGATTTGTTGGGGGGGGGGGGGGGGGGGGGGGGGGGGGATGCCCCCGACGAGGGGTCAGATTTCCCCGAGGAAAACAAAGTGGCCTGGTCGAGCTTCGATTAAAATGTTTCGAAAGTGGTCCAGGGGAGAACCCCCTAAAATTTTGACAAATTTGGGTTTTCAAAGGCTTATTTAATCGATTTTCGAGTCTACTAATGTGTAGAAAATAGGCCTACATAAAGTTTTTTTCTCTCGAATTAGTGCTTTTTCTCCCCGACGGGGGGGGGGAGGGGGTTGGCAGCTTTCCGCGACGGTCCCCCGGGCCCCCCGCTGGTGCTACCCATGATATTAAGGTATATACATACAAATTCAGTTTAAAGTCGCATTTTAAGCCTTTTTTAACGAATTTTATACTGTACTATAATGGAGTGTCTGGATTTTCGAGAGCGATAATTTGTTCTGTTTTTTCAACTGAGTAGAATTTTCTGAAGTTGTGGGGGAGGTTGGTGTGGAAGGTGCATTTATATTAAAAAATCATTAAAAAAATGCAATTGTCGTTATTATTTAGTTCGAACGAAATACTATTTCGAGGGAACGAAATTATTTCGTTTAATCGAAATATATTATTTCGTTCTCTCGAAATATTATTTCGTTCCCTCGAAATAATTATTTCGTTCCCTCAAAATATTACTTCGTTCCCTCAAAATAATATTTTGTTCTTTCGAAAAAATATTTCGTTCTCTCACAATAATATTTCATTCGCTCGAAATAGTATTTCGTTCCCTCGAAATAATACGGTAATTCGTATATGGTACGCCCACAGTGCCTTCGGCGTCGTTCGGTGTTTGCTCGACGAAATATGCATTTGACTGCAACTGTATATCATCATTCAGTGGCAACTACAGCATAATATACATTAGAACCCCCTCCTTTCGGGACACCCCTATTCAGAGGACACCCCTATTAAGGGAACACTTTTCCGTGAAACGAGGGAAACTATATCTTTTAACATTACGGCCAATGCCTTCCAAGTGGACACCCCTAGGGAACGAGGATTTCGAAAAAATATACCAAAATTTTATCTCCTGGATCATTAGAGAACATCGGTATAGGCGTGTGAAGAAATTAGGGGCTTTAATCAGATATGAATTCCTAACAAAACATCAATGGCCTAGTTGTTAATGGCGTCGATATATAGACAGCAGAAGGACTCTTATATTACATTTTATATATATATATATATATAC